CACATTTTAGGGCTTTTCCCCCTTTTACAATTTTTCTTTTTTCTTATTTTTTTTTAGTAATCTTTACAGGAAAAAAAAGGGGGTTTCTACCCCTTTTTCCCGGCATTTTAGGTTTACTTTTAAAAAACACCATGGCCTTTGGGGGAAAGATTTTTTATTTTCCCCTTCCCCGGATATAAAAGGAAAAAATTTAAAAAGACCCAAAAACTATTAAGATAAAAAACAAAGAAAACCCAGATGAGTGTGTATAAAAAACTGTCCCCTGTATGTGTATGTGGACCTAAGTTAAGTAGAAGTAGGGAAGCGTACCCCGTAATCTTGCATTTTAAAGAGGGGCAGACAAAAGACACCCAAACCCAAACCTACCATCATGTAAAACAATTACGGGTTACGTTTTACACTCACTTGGCAGGACGGTAGTACCTCCCTGGGTGGTTGTTTAATATATGTATGAAAGAGGGGAAGGTACCTAGGGAATGGCAGAGAGCATGTATAGTTCCTTTACATAAAGGGAAGGGGGACAACAGAGATTGTAAAAATTATAAGGGAAGAAGTTTACTGAGTATACCAGGTTAAGTGAATGGTAGGGTTATTAATGAAAGAATTAGAGGTTAAGACAGAAGCAGGATTGCAGATGAACAAGGAGGTTTCAGAATGGGTAGGGGATGTGTAAATCAAGTGTTTACATTGAAGCATATATGTGAACAGTATTTAAATAAAGGAAGGGAAGTTTTAACTGAATTCATGGATTTAGAAAAGGCATATGATTGAGTGTATAGGGAAGCAATGTGGCAGATGTTGCAAGTGTATGGAATAGGCAGTAAGTTACTAAATGCTGTAAAGAGTTTTTATGAGGATAGTGTGGTTCAGGTTTGGGTATGTAGGAGAGAGGGAGATTACTTCCCAGTAAAAGTAGGTCTTAGACAGGGATGTGTAATATCACCATGGTCATTTAACATATTTATAGATGGGGTTGTAAAAGAAGTAAATGATAGGGTGCTGGGGAGAGGGGTGGGATTAAATTATGAGGAATCAAGTACAAAATGGGAGTTGACACTGTTACTTTTTGCTGATGATACTGTGCTTTAGGAGAATTCTAAGAAAAGTTGCAAAGGTTAGTGGATGAGTTTGAGAGGGTGTGTAAAGGTAGAAAGTTGAAAGTGAGCATAAATAAAAGTAAGGTGATGAGTGAATCAAACAATTTAGATAAAGAAAAATTGGATATCACATTGGAGGGAGGGAGTATGGAAGAAGTGAATGCTTTCAGATATTTGGAAGTTGACTTGTCAGTGCATGGGTTTATGAAGGATAAGGTTAACCATAGAATTGATGATTGAAAAAAGGCGAGTGGTGAGCTGAGGTATCTGTGGAAACAAAAAATGCTATCTATGGAGGCAAAGAAGGAAATGCATGAGAGTATAGTGATACCACACTCTTATATGGGTGTGAAGCATGGGTTGTGAACGCTGCAGCAAAGAGGCAGAGAATTCGTAGTGTGGAAATTAGGTGGTGTGGAGTTACTAAAAGTATTAGTCAGAGGGCTTAAGAGGGGTTGTTGAGGTGGTTTGGCCATTTAGAGAGAATGAAATAAAGTACAATGACTTGGAGAGTGTAAGGAAGAAGGGTTAGGGGTTGTACTTGAAAAAGGTTGGAGGGAGGGGGTAAATGAGGTTTTGTGAATGAGGGGCTTGAATTTCCAGTAAGCATGCGTGAGCACGTTAGATAGGAGTGAATGGAGACAAATGGTTTTTGGGAATTGACAAGCTGTTGGAGTGTGAGCAGGGTAATATTTTGTGAAGGAATTCAGGGAAACTGGTTAGTCGAACTTGAATCCTGGAAATGGGAAGTACAATGCCTGCACTTTAAAGGAGGGGTTTGGGATATTGGCAGTTTGGAGGGACATCTAAGTTGTCATATCTGAGCACCTCTGCAAAGACAGTGATTATGTATGAGTGATGGTGAGCTTTGAATGATGAAAATTTGATCTTTTTTTGTTTTTTTTTTCTTTCTTTTTAGGTCACCCTGCCTAGGTGGGAAACAGCCAACGTGTTAAAGAAAAAAAAATTAGTGCCAATTTGTTTTAATACATGTATGTATACAGTAAAAGTAAAGGTGGTTTGATCCTTTAGAGAGAATGAATCAAAGTAGAATGACATGGAGAGCATATAAATCTGTAGGGGAAGGAAGGCGGGGTAGGGGTCGTCCTCGAAAAGGTTGGAAGGGGTAAGGGAGGTTTTGTGGGCGAGGGGCTTGGACTTCCAGCAGGCGTGCATAAGTGTGTTCGATAGGAGTGAATGGAGACGAATGGTATTTGGGACCTGATGATCTGTTGGAGTGTGAGCAGGGTAATATTTAGTGAAGGGATTTAGGGAAACCGGTTATTTTTATATAGCCGGAATTGAGTCCTGGATATGGGAAGTACAATGCCTGCACTCTAAAGGAGGGGTTCAGGATATTAGCAGTTTGGAGGGATATGTTGTGTATCTTTATACGTATATGCTTCTAAACTGTTGTGTTCTGAGCACCTCTGCAAAAACAGTGATTATGTGTGAGTGAGCTGAAAGTGTTGAATGATGATGAAAGTATTTTCTTTTTGGGGATTTTCTTTCTTTTTGGGTCACCCCGCCTTGGTGGGAGACAGCCAACTTGTTAAAAAAAAAAAAAAAAAAAAAAATGTATACTTGAGGCAGTGATTCTGTGCACCGGCCAGGGAGGTATAACATCTTTTAGGAGTGAAGAAGAGCCAGATTTGTGTGTGGGGGGAAGGTGTGTGAGGCACTGGGTAGAATGAAAGGGGATGAAGCAGCTGTAACAGATGGGATCATGACAGAAATGTTAAAAGCAGGTGGGGATGTAGTTTTGGAGTGGTTGGCACTTTTGTTCAATAAATGTGTGAAAGAGGAGAGAGTACCTAGGGACTGGCAGAAGGCATGCACGGTTCCTTTATATAAAGGGAAGAGGGGGACAAAAGTGTGTGTAAAAATTACAGGGATATAAGCCTACCAAAAATATGTGGTAAAGTGTATGGGAGGGCTATTAATGAAAGAATTAGAGGTAAGATGGAGAGCAGGATCGCAGATGAACAAGGAGGCTTTAGAATGGGTAAGGGATGTATAGACTGAATGTTTACATTGAAGCATATAAGTGAACAATATCTAGATAAAGGCAAGGAAGTTTTCTTTGCTTTTATGGATTTAGAAAAGCCTTATGATTATGTGCACAGGGGAGCAATATAACAGATGTTGCAAGTGGTAAGTTATTAAATGCTGTAATGAGTTTTTATGAGGATAGTGGAACTCAGGTAATGGTGTGTAGGAGAGAGGGAGATTACTTTTCTAGTAAAAAAAGGTCTTAGACAGGGATGTGTAATGTTATCATGGTTGTTTAACATAATTATAGATAGGGTTGTACAAGAAGTGCTGGGGAGAGGGGTGGGACTAAATTATGCAGATTCAAATACAAAATGGGAGTTAACAAAGTTACTTTTTGCTGATGATACTGTGCTTTTGGGAGATTCTGAAGAGAAATTTCAAAGGTTAGTGATAAGTCTGGGAGGGTGTGTAAAGGAAGAAAGTTAAAAGTGAACACAGATAAGAGTAAGGTGATGAGGGTATCAAATGGTTTAGATAAGGAAAAACTGGATATCAGACTGGAGGGAGGGAGTAAGGAAGAAGTGAATGTGTTCACATATGTGAGAGTAGACTTGTCAGTGGATGGGTTTATGAAGGACAAGGTAAACCATAGAATTGATGAAGAAAAAAAGGTGGGTGGTACACTGAAGTATCTGTGGAGACAAAGAACATTATCCATGGAGGCAAAGAAGGTAATGCATGAGAGTATAGTGGTACCAACTCTCTTATATGGGTGTGAAGCATGGGTTGTGACTACTGCAGCAAGGAGGAGGCAGAAGGCAGTGGAGATGTTGTGTCTAAGGGAAATGTGTGGCATAAATATTATGCAGAGAATTTGTAGTGTGGAAATTAGGTGGTGTGGAGTATTATTCAGAGGGCTGAGGAGAGGTTGTTGAAGTGGTTTGGACATTTAGAGAGGATGGAGCAAAATAGGATGACTTGAAGGATATAAAAATCTGTAGTGGAAGGAAGGTTGGGTTAGGTGTCATCCTAGGAAAGGATGGAGGGAGGGGGTAACAGAGGTTGTGTGTGAAAGGGGCTTGGACATACAGCAGGACTGTGTAAGCATGTTAGATAGAAGTGAGTGGAGACAAATTGTTTTAGGACTTAATGAGCTGTTGGAGTGTGAGAAGGGTAATATTTTGTGAAGGGATTCAGGGAAACCAGTTAGCTGAACTTGAGACCTGGAGGCAGGAAGTACAATGCCTACACTTCAAAGGAGGGGTTTGGGACATTTGCTGTTTGGAGTGACACCTGAACTGCATGCATCTGCAAAGACAGTGATTATGTGTGAATGATGGAGAAAGAGTTTTTTTTTTTTTGGGTCACTCTGCCTTGGTGGGAGATGGCCGGCATGTTAAAAAAAAAAATGTACATATCAAATATTTTTCCTAATTTCAAGAGGCATTTGTCTTTACAGCAAGTCTAGAGCATTTCCAATGCTTCAGTTTGCTGGTTTGTTACTTGCAAAAATAAATGAAATGCCAATTCTTTGAAATAAGACATCAGAATATGAAAAAAATAGGAAAAATTACCTAAGTAATACTGTATCTATTAATAGATAAAAGTGTAATATCATACTTTTAATTACTACATATATTAAAATCAAATGCAAAATCTATATGGGTCATACAGTGTCACACTTGTAAAGCCCTCAGAAAATTCACATTTTGAAAACTGACAAAAACAAAATTGACAGTGTTCTGGGCTGAGAAGGATATTTCAAAATGATATTTCAAAAACATGAGTGGGGTTTTGACAGACTGTACCTATGTTTTCACTGTCTACCAAATAATTACATAAAATACTTTGAGTTTTGATGTCTGACTTTTGCTGCCATGACAATACAATAACTTGTGGGGCACTCACAGATGCATGATGTAGTACATGACTGCCCAAGCCTCCATGTGGACACCCTCAGTCTGGATGAAGTGGTAATTAACTCCATGGAAGAGCAGGCTAAATGATTTAATCACCACAAGAACTCCCATCAAATAATGGATCTTGAAAACAGGATCTCTGTAAAGGAATACACTAGTTACTATTTACATAACACCAGTTAATGAGTTGAGTAATCAAGACATTAAATATCAATACGCGCACAACCTGGGTAGGAGGTTGGCAGACAGCAGCCGCCCAGGGAGGCACTAACGTCCTGCCAAGGCCGTGCGACATGGAAACCAGTAGTTGTTTTACATGATTGAAGGATTGCTGGTGTCTTTATTTTCTGTATCATAAATACACTGGATACCAGGTATATCTTGCTACTTCTACTTGCACTTAGGTCACACTACGCATGCATTTACATGCATATTTATACATACCCCTCTGGGTTTTCTTCTATTTTTTTAATATTTCTTGTTCTTGTTTATTTCTTCTTATCTCCATGGGGAAGTGGAACAGAATTCTTCCACCGTAAGCCAAGTGTGTCATAAAATCGTAAGAAGTGACTAAAATGCCGGCAGCAAGAGGCTAGTAATTCCTTCTCATGTATACATTACTAAATTTTAACCCTTTCAGGGTTGGTGCCGTACTAGTACAGCTTGCACGCACAAATTCTAGTGCCTTCAAATCTAGCGAGATAAAGCTGGTAGGCCTACATATGAAAGAATGGATTTATGCACACAGTGCATAATAAGAAAAAAAAAAAAACTCCGACCGTGTTTTTGGTTTAAAACAGCGACTTTGTAGTGTATTTTCGCATGCTATTTATGGTTGTATTCTAGTTTTCCTGGTCTCATTTTATAGAATGGAAGACATATTACAGAAATTGAGATGATTTTGATTGGTTTCACAATGAAAAGTACCTTCTTGAAATTGAGCTCAAAGTAGCAGAAATGTTCAATTTTTGCCAAATTTAAAAAGTAAACAAATCATGCCATGCGTTCAATACACGTCAACTGGTGAGGCTAATATTCTTTCACAAGTGCGCTGATATTATTTATACCATTTCTACACTAATGCAGTAGTCTGCATAACAGTAAATCTTCTAATTTTTGAGAGAATAAAAATTCAAAGTGGAAAGCAAAAGAAATGTAACAGAGGCCTGGGGACATGACTAATGAACAGCGGAAATGTTATTTTAGTGCCAGGAATGTCTGTCTTGTTTATTCTGGACCCTATTTGTATGGTGTAGGAGGTAGGTTACTGAAAGCAGTGAAGAGTTTTTACGAGGATAGTGAGGCTCAAGTTAGAGTATGTAGGAAAGAGGGAAATTATTTCCCAGTAAAAGTAGGCCTTAGACAAGGATGTGTGATGTCACCGTGGTTGTTTAATATATTTATAGATGGGGTTGTAAGAGAAGTAAATGCGAGGGTCTTGGCAAGAGGCGTGGAGTTAAAAGATAAAGAATCACACATAAAGTGGGAGTTGTCACAGTTGCTCTTTGCTGATGACACTGTGCTCTTGGGAGATTCTGAAGAGAAGTTGCAGAGATTGGTGGATGAATTTGGTAGGGTGTGCAAAAGAAGAAAATTGAAAGTGAATACAGGAAAGAGTAAGGTTATGAGGATAACAAAAAGATTAGGTGATGAAAGATTGGATATCAGATTGGAGGGAGAGAGTATGAAGGAGGTGAATGTATTCAGATATTTGGGAGTGGACGTGTCAGCGGATGGGTCTATGAAAGATGAGGTGAATCATAGAATTGATGAGGGGAAAAGGGTGAGTGGTGCACTTAGGAGTCTGTGGAGACAAAGAACTTTGTCCTTGGAGGCAAAGAGGGAATGTATGAGAGTATAGTTTTACCAATGCTCTTATATGGGTGTGAAGCATGGGTGATGAATGTTGCAGCGAGGAGAAGGCTGGAGGCAGTGGAGATGTCATGTCTGAGAGCAATGTGTGGTGTGAATATAATGCAGAGAATTCGTAGTTTGGAAGTTAGGAGGAGGTGCGGGATTACCAAAACTGTTGTCCAGAGGGCTGAGGAAGGGTTGTTGAGGTGGTTCGGACATGTGGAGAGAATGGAGCGAAACAGAATAACTTCAAGAGTGTATCAGTCTGTAGTGGAAGGAAGGCGGGGTAGGGGTCGGCCTAGGAGAGGTTGGAGGGAGGGGGTAAAAGAGGTTTTGTGTGCGAGGGGCTTGGACTTCCAGCAGGCATGCGTGAGCGTGTTTGATAGGAGTGAATGGAGACAAATGGTTTTTAATACTTGACGTGCTGTTGGAGTGTGAGAAAAGTAACATTTATGAAGGGGTTCAGGGAAACCGGCAGGCCGGACTTGAGTCCTGGAGATGGGAAGTACAGTGCCTGCACTCTGAAGGAGGGGTGTTAATGTTGTAGTTTAAAAACTGTAGTGTAAAGCACCCTTCTGGCAAGACAGTGATGGAGTGAATGATGGTGAAAGTTTTTCTTTTTCGGGCCACCCTGCCTTGGTGGGAATCGGCCAGTGTGATAAAAAAAAAATAATATTTGGAAACTGGCATCTTTTTAAATTTGTGTGAAATTGGCAAAACTGCCAATTTCAGACCACTTTATTGGATAGTTGAAATCGGTAAATGGGTGGTTTCTTGTACTCATTCGATAGAAAAAATGGAGTTCTAGCAAAATAGTTATGATTTTTGTTGACTGGTACATTGGAATTGGCCAAAAATAGGGCTCAAAGTGGGCAAAATCGCCGATGCGTAAACATTGTCGAGACCGCTAATTTCACGAGAGCATAATTCCATAAGTTTTCCATCAAATTTCATACTTTTGGTGTCATTATGATCGGGAAAAGATTCTCTAGCATTTCATAAGAAAATTTTTTTTTTTTTTTTTAAATTTCCGACCGAGAACAAGTTTAGGAGAGGGCCTGCCGACCCTGAAAGGGTTAAGAGAGAAACTTACATTTTTTCTTTTTAGGTCATTCAGCCCCGGTTGGATATGGTTGGTTCATTGAAAGAAAACAAAAATTAAGATAATAGGTATGTCTTGCTACTTTTACTTACATTAGGTCACACTACATATGCATGTACATACATATGTATACACACTCATCTGAGTTTTCTTCTATTTTCTTAATAGTTTTTTTTTTACCCATTTCTAGCGAAACAGTTAGGATTTTTGTCGACTGGTACATTGGAATTGGCCAAAAATAGGTCTCAAAGTGGGCAAAATCGCCGATGCGTAAACATCGTTGAGACCGCTAATTTCACGAGAGCATAATTCCATAAGTTTTCCATCAAATTTCATACTTTTGGTGTCTTTATGATTGGGGAAAGATTCTCTAGCATTTCATAAGAAAAAATAATTATTTTTTTTTTTTAAAAATTTCCGACCGAGAACAAGTTTAGGAGAGGGCCTGCCGACCCTGAAAGGGTTAAGAGAGAAACTTACATTTTTTCTTTTTAGGTCATTCAGCCCCAGTTGGATATGGCTGGTTCATTGAAAGAAAAAAAAAATAATATAATAGGTATGTGCTACTTTTACTTACAATATACATTAGGTCACACTACACATGCATGTACACACATATGTATACACACTCATCTGAGTTTTCTTCTATTTTCTTAATAGTTTTTTTTTTTTTACACATTGGCCATTTCCCACCGAGGCAGGGTGACCCAAAAAGAAAGAAAAATATGTACTTTCATTATCATTCAACACTTTCACCATCACTCATACATAATCACTGTCTTCGCAGAGGCGCTCAGATACGACAGTTTAGAAGTCCCTCCAGACTGCCAATATCCCAAACCTCTCCTTTGAAGTGCAGGCATTGTACTTCCCATTTCCAGGACTCAAGTCCGGCTAACCGGTTTCCCTGAATCCTTTCACAAAATATTATCCTGCTCACACTCCAACAGCTTGTCAGGTCCCAGAATCCACTCGTTTCCATTCACTCTTATCTAAAATGCTCACACATGCTTGCTGGAAGTCCAAGCCCCTCACCCACAAAACCTCCTTTACCTCCTCCCTCCAACTTTTTTGCGGACGACCCCTACCCCACCTTCCTTCCCCTACCGATTTATACACTCTCCAAGTCATTCTACTTTGTTCTATTCTCTCTAAATGACCAAACCATCTCAACAACCCCTCTTCAGTCCTATGACTAATATTTTTAGTAACTCCACACCTCCTTAATTTCACACTCCGAGCTCTCTGCATGACATTTACACCACACAATGCCCTTAGACACAACAGCTTCACTGCCTCCAGCCACCTCCTCGCCGCAGCATTGACAACCCAAGCTTCACACCCATACAAGTGTTGGTACCACTATGCTTTCGTACATTCCCTTCTTTGCCTCCATGGATAACGCTTTTTTGTCTCCACAGATGCCTCAACACACCACTCACCTTTTTTCCTTCATAAATTCTATGGTTAACCTTGTCTTTCATAAACCTATCCACTGACAAGTCAACTCCCAAATATCTGAAAACATTCACTTCTTCCATACTCCCTCCCTCCAATGTGATATCCAATTTTTCTTTATCTAAATTGTTTGATACCCTCATCACTTCACTCTTATCTATGTTCACTTTTGACTTTCTACCTTTACACACCCTCCAAAACTCATCCACTAACCTTTGCAACTTTTCTTTTGAATCTCCCAAAATTACAGTAACATCAGCAAAAAGTAACTGTGTCAACTCCCATTTTATATTTGATTTCCTATAATTTAATCCCAACCCGCTCCCCAACACCCTAGCATTTACTTCTTTTACAACCCCATCAATAAATATAGTAAAGAACCATGGTGACATTACACATCCCTGTCTAAGACCTACTTTTACCGGGAAGTAATTTCCCTCTCTCCTACACACCCAAACCTGAGCCTCGCTATCCTCAAAAAAACTCTTTACAGTGATTAGTAGCTTACTACCTATTCCATACACTTGTAACATCTGCCACATTGCTCCCCTATCCACTATCATATGCCTTTTCTAAATCCATAAATGTAATGAAAACTTCCCTACCTTTATCTAAATACTGTTCACATATATGCTTCGATGTAAACCCTTGATCTACACATCCCCTACCCACTCTAAAGCCTCCTTGCTCATCTGCAATCCTACTCTCTGTCTTACCTCTAATTCTTTCACTAATAACCCTACACTTTACCTGGTATACTCATATACTCGGTAAACTTATTCCCCTATAATACTTACAATCTTTTTTGCCCCTCTTCCCTTTACATAAAGGAACTATGCATGCTCTCTGTCAATCCCTAGGTACCTTTCCCTTTCAAACATTTATTAAACAAAAACACCACCCAACAGTTCTTGTTCTTCTTTATCCCAATAGGGAAGTGGAAAAGAATTCTTCCTCTGTAAGCCATGATTGTCGTAAAAGGCAGCTAAAATGCTGGGAGCAAGGAGCTGGTAACCCCTTCTTTTTACATTACTAAATGTAAAAGGAAAAAATTTGTTTTTCTTTTTAAGTTACCCTGCCTTGGTGAGATATGGCCAGTGCATTAAAAAAGAAATCAATGCAAATTTTAATTAGCTGCTCCAGTTCCATGGCTTTACCAAATACTGCATTGGTTTAAATATTCTGTGTAATTCATTTATATCTCCTTTCACTGTTTTCTTTTATCAGTGTATTCTATCCCAAACAGGCTTAATAATATTATTATACTAATTCACAACATCAAATGTCTAAAGAGCATCTTTTAAGTCCTAAATCCATGAATAGTATCTATCATACTGTTTTCCACATTACAAAACTATCTCTAAGCTGGGGTAAAATAAAATTTTCATTCCACAAAATTATCAATTCACTTAGTAGATTATATGTCAAAATACAAGTATGCTAAGTTTTAAGTGAATATGTAATCTGCTAGGCAATGGAACTGACCCTACAATCTATACGGCCTTGTGCAGATTAGAGTAAAACACAGACAGCTGTTCTCAACCTCTCGATAATCCAGTGTCTAGTACACAATATCACCCTCCAATGTATGTGGTCATTTTAATCTGTCAACCAAGGATTAAAATGCCACATTTTTGCATAATTTATAAGTGGATTAATTTTGTTAAGAGAACAAGTTGAGACCCTTAACCAAATAAAAGCTACATTTATAGTGTGCATATCAAGGATTACAAATTACAAATTTTATCATGAGAGAAGGGATATGCAAAGAAGATTAAGTTAAATAACGAAGCTCAATAAATACTGATGGATTATCACTTGTACAAGTAGCAACACCTTAACATTCATTAGAGATGGGGCAATACCAAAATTTTTGCTGATACTGATACCATCAAAATTACCAAATACCCTCTGATACCAATACCATCAGAATTAGCCAATACCCACTGATACTCAATTTGAGGCAGATACCAGTACCATTAAACCTTGCCAGTGCCTACCAATACCGATGCGGATACATCCATCATTAATCTGGCTCAATAGAAGCAACTAGGAAATGCAAGGTGCAATGAGTATGTTACAATGAATTTCTACTTATGTAACCTGCTCAATGTTTATAATATTAAATATGACCAAAATTATAAAGTTAGTCACTCTGTTGCAGTACTAATAATGTACACCCTACAATGCCATCTCTCAATATTTCACATGCCCAGTGGGTTGTTAGCGCAATTATTTTCTACTATTTAGGCACAACAGATTCTTTATATACTATTAAAGAAATGATACTGTTTCATGTGTTGAATGAGATGGCAGGACATACTAATGACAGTGACAATTAAGTTACAAGGATCAGTCAGTGATAGATAGTTAATTAGACAGACCCAAGAATTAAGGATGTCACCACCCAATATTATCCAGCTCTTATGATGAACAACATTTGTGTAAAACCACAAGCTTCAATGAAAAATGGTGCCCAGCAGGCCCACAGGTTTTAGACAACCAATACAACCTGCCACTTGTTTCTGGTAGAAGTCCAGTTTCCTAGTGGAAAAGTTTCATCTTGGTTCCTGCAACATTGCTTGTATCTGTTGGTGGAGGGCTGATTAATCTTGGACCATTTATCTAATTGTGCTTATGGCTGAAAAGACTAATTTTCTGATCTGAAACTCAGAAAATAGTTCCTTAAATAATAAAATGACTATGTAATAAGTTTTTATCAAACTGGAGGAGAGGAAGGTATACCTGTGATGAGTTTCGAGAGTCTCACTGCTCTCAGAGCCCAAACATGGGCCAGGCTCCGGTGTTAATTTTCACCATGATCTCACCTTTTTCTCAGTATGAAAGACTAGATAATTTCTTTCAACAAACCGGCCGTATCCCACCGAGGCAGGGTGGCCCAAAAAGAAAAACAGAAGTTTCTCTTTTTAAATTTAGTAATTTATACAGGAGAAGGGGTTACTAGGCCCTTGCTCCCGGCATTTTAGTCGCCTCTTACAACACGCATGGCTTACAGAGGAAGAATTCTGTTCCACTTCCCCATGGAGATAAGTGAAAATAAACAAGAACAAGAACTGGAAAGAAAATAGAAGAAAACCCAGAGGGGTGTGTATATATATGCTTGTACATGTATGTGTAGTGTGACCTAAGTGCAAGTAGAAGTAGCAAGACATACCTGAAACCTTGCATGTCTATGAGACAGAAAAATGGACACCAGCAATCTTACCATCATGTAAAACAATTACAGGCTTTCATTTTACACTCACTTGGCAGGACGGTAGTACCTCCCTGGGCGGTTGCTGTCTACCAACCTACTACCTAGACTAGATAATTCTGAGAGGTTAATATCCTTGTGGAGACAGAAACAAGAGCAATAAGTATTACATAACCTGACCTTCAACTGAGGTTATTTTCAGCAGATACATATGTCTGTTGAAGAGGACCTCAGGTGGAGGTCAAAATCTAGAGACAATCTATTACTTGTGTCTGTCTTCATGTAAGTAGTGATATCTGGATGACAAGTGTTCATTACACTACAATGACCCAATATCTTTCTCCTCCTCCCTTTTCTTTGCCCTATGACTCTTCCATTTTTTCTGGGTGTATGTCATCCCACTCAATACAAGTGGGAAATAGGATGATGACAGTGGTGGTGTTGATGATCAAACTTATAAGATACTGAAGAAAAATAAAAAAAACTGGTAAAAAATTTGAACTAACTTGCTCTTCTTGAGAAGGAAGAACCAGAAGCAGGCAGAGAGGAAGAAGAGAAGGGCCATCATAAAGTACAGTGCTGGAAGGGGCATCTCTCCAGCAGATAGATAGTTAGCATCAGGATTTTCTTCCTCAATCTGAAATGGAAATACATTAAAATTTTGTGTATGTGCTTCTACAAAAATGCTCTTTCATGTTATTACTCACAATTCTTAAAAGCTATTTTTTTCAACAAAACAATTCAATAATTTTAACTCTCATCACAAACAAAATGCAGGTATGTATGCACATAAATTATAATGAAAACATGCTAATGGTCCTCTATGGACCTGTCTTACCAGTAAGGACATATCAATAGATGAGTATCCTTCATTGGGACCGAAATTCATGCAGTTGTGAAAATTGAGGTTGTAGAGACCTTCCTCTTTCTCTCGAGCCACATACACCAAGAACTGTAAAATAGAAAAGAATTATGATAATTACTAAACAATACAATTCTGTTTACATCTACAATTTTAGTGATTTAATAATAATAATAGTAATGATAATAACCACAGAAATAACACTGTAATATTAATTCTTTCTTTCAATGTACTGGCAGTATCCCACCGAGGCAGGGTGGCCCAAAAAGAAAAACAAAACTTTCTCTTTTTAAATTTAGTAATACAACCGAGGCAGGGTGGCCCAAAAAGAAAAACAAAACTTTCTCTTTTAAAATTTAGTAATACATAGAGGGGAAGGAGTTACTAGCCCCTTGCTCCCGGCATTTTAGTTGCCTCTTACAATGCACATGGCTTATGAAGGAAGAATTCTGTTCCATTTCCCAATAGAGATAAGCAGAAATAAAGAACAAGGACTAATAAGAAAACAAGAAAACCCACAGGAGTATGTATGTATATGCTTGTACATGCGTGTAGTGTGACCTAAGTGTAAGCAGAAGTAGGAAGATGTACCTAAAATCTTGATGTTTATGAGACAAAAAAAATACACCAGCATCTGTTGGAAAACAAGGTAACTCCATACTTCATATGCTATACAGGCACATCTTGTTAATTCAGCACTCACTCTAGAGTGCTTTGCTAATACTGCACTTCTCAATTATATTCACATTTACAGTGGACCCTGGAGTTTCGAACGTACCAACTATCAAACTTTTCGAGTGCCAGAGGACTTTTTTTGAACCAATTTTGTTCCGAGTATCGAACTCTACCCGTCTTTCGAACCGCCGGGTACCGGACCTGTCCGCCAGCCCGCTCTGTCTGCGTCCCCATGCAGGCGTTGTGAGCAGTCTGGCTTTGTTGATGCTTGAGTGAACTCTAGCCTGCACGCTCGTTCAAACATTTCACTATTAATTCATTGTGTTTAGTGCTTGTGCGACTGTGAAATAAGCTACGATAGGCCCAAAGAAACTTGCTAGTGGTACCCCTGTGGTAAAGAAAGTGAGAAGCACCACAGATGTGAAGAAGGAAATAATACAAAAATATGAGAGTGGTGAGAGACTTGCTGAGCCTGCCAGGATATACGGCAAAAACAAGTCAATTATCGCTTCTATCCTGGCAAAGAAAGAACAAATCAAGAAAGCTGATGTTGCGAAAGGTGTTGATATGCTAACCAAAAATAGGCCACAGACAGTCGATCATGTTGAGAAGTTGTTGCTGGTGTGGATCAAGGATAAAGAGATGGCAGGTGATAGTGTTTCGGAGACGATTATTTGTGAAAAGGCAAGGAAGTTGCATGCCGACCTGGTAAAGAAAACTCCTGGAACCAGTGAATTTAAGGCCAGCAAAGGCTGGTTTGAAAGATTTAAGAAGCATAGTGGCATACACAATGTTTTAAGGCATGGTAAGGCAGCCAGTTCAGACAAACAGGCAGTTGAGACGTTTGTACAGGAGTTTAGGGGTACACAGACACTGAAAAATTCAAACCCCAACAAGTGTTCAATTGTGATGAAACAGGCCTGTTTTGGAAGAAAATGCCAAAGAGGACCTACATCACACAGGAGGACACAATCCTATGAAAGACAGACTAACTCTTTTGTTCTAACGCTAGTGGTGATTTTAAAGTGAAGCCTTTACTTGTGTATTGCTCAGAAAATCCCAGTGTGTTTAAGAAAACAATGTCATTAAGAACAAGTTATGTATCTTGTGGAAAGTAAATAATAAGGCACGAGTCACATGGCAAATTTTCAAAGAGTGGGTCCATGAAGTGTTTGGCCCCAGTGTGAGAAAATACCTCCTAGAAAATAATTTGCCGCTTAAATGTCTCCTGCATATCCTCTAAACTTGGTAGACCTACTGTCTAGGGACTACTGTTTCATCACAGTGAAGTTCTTGCCTCCTAATACCACTCCTCTCCTCCAGCCCATGGACCAGCAGGTCATTTGTAACTTCAAAAAACTCTACACAAAAGCAGTGTTTGAAAAGTGCTTTGAAGTGACCACAGACACTAAACTGACCCTAAAAGAGTTCTGGAGGAATCACTTCAATATCTACAGCTCCATAAGCCTTATAGGTAAGACTTGGGAGGGAGTGACTTCCAGGACTTTGAACTCTACTTGGAGACAATTGCGGCTGGATTGTGTCCAAAAGAGGGATTTTGAAGGGTTTGAGGCTGACCCTGCTGACCCTCTGCCTGTTGTGGACTCTACTGTGAAATGCATTGGAGAACACCCTGGGGCTGGAGGTGAGTGGAGAGGATGTGGAAGAGTTGGTGGATGACCACAGGGAAGAGCTAACCACTGAAGAGCTGGAAGAGCTTCATCTGGAACAGCATCAGACCATAGCTCAGGAACTTGCTTCAGAGGAGGAAGAGGGAGTGGAGGTGCCTCCTTCAGTGATTAAGTACGTGTGTGCAAAGTGGAATAAGTTGCAAACTTCCGTTGAAAAGTATCACCCTGACCAAGCCGAAACAAGCCATCTCTGCAACAAGTTCAGTGACAGAACCTTGTCCCACTTCAGGGAAATGTTAAAGAGGTGCCAGAAACAAGAGGAGTCTGGCCAGTTATTTTGTGAGACTGGGGTCCAGTGACTCTCAAGCTGGTCCTAGTGGCATTAAAAGACAGAGAAGGGAAGTAACCCCAGAGAGGGCTTTGATACATGAAGTCCTTATGAAGGGGGATTCTCCTTCCAAACAATAACCCCAACTCCCTCTTTCCTCCTCCCTCTCTTCCAGATGCCATCACCAATCTTCAATAAAGGTAAGTAAAAATGTTATTTTATATGTTTATTTAAATTTATTACTAATTCTACTAGCATGTATGTTTGTTGTGTGTATGTAAAACTATAATGTAATCTCTATAAAATGTATTTTTTTGTGAATATTTTGGGTTTCTGGAATGGATTAATTGTACATGTATTTCCATTATTTCTCATGGGAAATACTGGTTCGACTTTCGGATATTTCGACTTTAGAACTAGCTCCTGGAACGGATTAAGTTCGAAATTTGAGGGTCCACTGTATTATTTTTTCTGTTCGCCTTGCTCTTAAAATGGTTTCAAAAATTTTCAATTTTTTATATATTATTTTTACTTTTGCATTTTTTATTTTTAAATTCAGTACTATTGCAAACTTAATAAATGATACTGTAAACGTGTTTTTTAGGCTTTTATATGCACTGACAAGTGAAAAAAAAGTCTGTGATTTGCTTTAATGCAATACAGTGGTCCCTCAATAATCGACCGGCCTGAAAGTCGACCATTTCGGAAATCAACCGGTTTTTTCGACAAAATATTGACTCGGAAATTGACCGAAATTCGTTTATCGACCCGTCTCGACCCGTCGTCCCAGACGCGTATGCACGAGGTAAGCGGGCCTCGACCCGCCTCAGCCTTCCTTCCCAGCCAGTGTGCCATTGTTTACCAGTTAGCGGCGGTCCTCTCACGTGCTCCAGTGAAATATTTCATAATATTTCATTTATTTTAGTGCTTGCAAGTTATTTAAGTGCTAAATAAGCTACCATGGCTCCAAAGAAAAGCTCCTAGTGCCAAACCTTTGGTAAAGAAGGTGAGAAATACCATTGAATTTAAGAAAAACATCATTGAACAATATGATAGTGGCGTACGTGTGGGCGAACTGGCGAGGATGTATAACAAAAATCATTCAACCATATCTTCCATCATAGCCATGAGAAAGGAAATCAAGGACGCTGTTGTTGCAAAGGGGGTAAATATGCTGACAAAAATGAGATCACCAGTACTGGAAGAGGTTGAGAAGTTATTATTGGTGTGGATAAATGAGAAACAATTAGCAGGAGACAGTCTTATGACCTCGATTATTTGTGAAAAGGCTAGGCAGTTGCATGAAGATTTGGTAAATAAATTGCCTGCAAATAGTGGTGAAGTGAGTGATTTTAAGGCCAGCAAAGGCTGGTTTGAGAGATTTAAGAAGCGTACTGGCATACACAGTGTGGTAAGGCATGGTGAGGCTGCCAGTTCGGACCACAAGGCGGCTGAAAAATATGTGCATGAATTCCAGGAGTACATAGAGGCTGAAGGACTGAAACCTGAACAAGTGTTCAATTGTGACGAAACAGGCCTCTTCTGGAAGAAAATGCCAAAGAGGACCTTCATTACACAAGAGGAAAAGTCAATGCCAGGACACAAGCCTATGAAAGACAGGCTGACGCTAATGTTCTGTGCTAATGCTAGTGGGGATTTCAAAGTGAAGCTCGTTACTAGTGTACCATTCTGAAAATCCCAGAGCATTTAAGAAAAATAATGTTATGAAGAGTAAATTGTGTGTGTTTTGGAAATCTAATAATAAGGCATGGGTCACGAGGGAAATTTTTGTAGAGTGGTTCAACGAAGTGTTTGGCCCTAGTGTAAAGAATTACCTCCTGGAGAAGAAATTGGATCTCAAGTGCCTGCTAGTAATGGACAATGCACCTGCTCATCCACCAAACTTGGATGACCTAATTCTGAAGGAGTTTGGGTTCATCTCAGTAAAGTTCTTGCCCCCGAATACCACTCCTCTCCTCCAACCCATGGACAAGCAGGACATTGCAAACTTTAAAAAACTGTACACCAAAGCAATGTTTGAAAGGTGCTTCAATGTGACCTCAGACACTCACTTGACCCTACGAGATTTTTGGAAAGAACATTTCAGTATTTTCCATTGTGTAAGCCTTATAGGTAAGGCTTGGGAGGGAGTGTCTACCAGGACTTTGAACTCTGCTTGGAGGGATTTGGAAGGGTTTGGGGCTGACCCTGATGAGCCTATGTCAGTTTTGAACTCTATTGTGGCACTGGGGAGTTCCATGGGGTTGGATGTGAGTTTGGAGGATGTGGAAGAGTTGGTGGAGGACCACAACGAAGAGCTAACCACTGAGGAGCTGCAAGAGCTTCAGCAGGAAGAGCAACAGATCGCAGCTCAGAATCTTGCTGCAGAGAAGGAGGAAGAGAGGTGGAAGAAGGTGCCTTCTTCAGAAATTAAGGAGATTTTTACTATGTGGGGTAAGATGGAAAGATTTATGGAGAAACATCACCCAGAGAAGGATGTTGCAAGCCATATCGGCAACTTGTACAGTGACAGAGTCTTGGCCCATTTTAGGGAAGTTTTAAAGAGACGCCAGAAACAGAGCTCTCTGCACAGTTATTTTGCGAGACAGGACTCCAGTGACTCTCAAGCTGGTCCTAGTGGCATTAAGAAACAGAGAAAAGAAGCAACCCCAGAAAAGCAAATGGTACCTGAGGTGTTGCTGGAAGGGGATTCCCCTTCCAAACTATAAACAATCCACTCTCTCCTCCTCCTCCAGTCTCCCATACACTAAGAAGAATCTCCAATAAAGGTAAGTGTTATGCTGTTAATGTTTCATTCATCATTTCCCATTGTATTGTTTATGTACTACATGAATATTTCATGTAAAAAATTTTTTTGTTTTAATACTTCTGGGTGTCAGGAACGGATTAATTGAATTTACATTATTTCTTATGGGGAAAATTGATTCGTAAATCGACCATTTCGATAATCGACCGGCTTCCAGGAACGGATTACCGTCGATAATCGAGGGACCACTGTATTCACTTTACGGAGGAGCTCTGGAACCTAACCCACCATATTAGTGAGGTATCCTTGTACATGGTGCAGAAGGTAACTTAAATCCCAGGGTCAAGGATTTAAATTAATAACCTAGAAGGTAAAATAAAAAGGAAGGATAAGAATGTAATTTCTAGTTTGTGTCACCTTAATTTAGAGGGAAAACAGCAAAGGAGTTAAAAAATCATTCATCACTGATTTTACATTTATACGGTACTTTTTAACATTTATAATGAATGAGAATATGGGGGTACCAACACACTTAAATGAGTATGAAGCATGGGTTGTGAATGTTGCAGTGGGGAGGAGGCTGGAGGCAGTGGAGATGTCAATGTGTGGTGTAAATATTATGCAGAGAATTCATAGCTAGGAGAACAGGAGGCAGTGCAGGGTTACTAAAAGTATTATCCAGAGGGCTGAGGAGGAATTGTTGAGCTGGTTTGGACATTTAGAGATGATGGAGAAAAATAGGATGACTTGGAGGGTACATAAATCTGTAGTGGAGGGAAGGTGGGGTAGAGGTCATCCTAGAAAAGGTTGGAGGAAGGGGGTAAAGGAGGTTTTGTGTATAAGGGGCTTGGACATCCAGCAAACATGTAACAGCGTGTTAAATAAGACAGGAGGCAAATGGTTTTTGGGACTGGACAAACTGTTGGAGTGTGAGTAAGGTAACATTTGTGAAGGGATTCAGGGAAATGGTTAGCCAGACTTGAGTCTTAGAGGTGGGAAGTATAATGCCTGCATTTTGAAGGAGAGGTGGGGATATCAGCAGTTTGGAGGGGCATCTGAACTGTAGTATTAGTGTACCTCTGGCAAGACAGTGATAGAGTGAATGATGGTGAAAGTGTTTCTTCATTTTCCAATCACCCTACCTCGGTGGGAGACTGCCATGTGTTAAAAAAATTTACAATAGGGATTTCAGTTTACAATTTATATCTGTTTTGTACTAAAGGTTATGACTATCAGTACATTACACACAATTAAAACTATTAATATCATGTAAATTTTTATGGAAGTGATATAATTATGACATATCACAGCAATATATAATAGCTATAAAAGTTATGGTGCATCACTCTCACATGACTGAACAAGATACTCCAATGCCCCAATATTTCAGCATTGTTCAGAAAGAGGGCAGACACATTTTGCTTATACATTGTAGTGAACAGCTTCTCCTATTAAAAAACTGTTCACTACAGTAATTTTTCACCGAATTCAGTAAGTTGATTTATTAAGCAAGATTTATGCCTCCATTTACCTTCACATTTTCTTCTACAAAACACTTTCACTACCAATACAAGCAGCTGAATGGAAGCGTAACATAATACACCCTAAGTGCACCCAATTTTTCTCAATTATTCACTTAGGCAACAACTTCCATGATAGCACTGCTTTCCCCCCAAAATTATTAATGAAATTCTCTTCCTCACACACCTATGTTATAACTTTACACAGCCATTTATTTATTACAGTAATACTCTTTGTACAAATCAACATGTAGCATGTGCTACAATGATTATATTTTCCATAGCTAGAACATTTTTCTATTTCTATTTCTTTCAACAAACTGGTTGTATTTCATCGAGGCAGGATGGCCCAAAAAGAAAAACTAAAGTTTCTCTTTTTAACTTTAGTAATGTATACAGAAGAAGGGGTTACTAGCCCCTTGCTCCTGGCATTTTAGTTGCCTCTTACGATACGCATGGCTTACAGAGGAAGAATTCTCTTCCACTTCCCTATGGAGATAAGAGGAAATAAACAAGAACAAGAACTAGTAAGAAAATAGAAGAAAACCCAGAGAGGTATGTATATATATGCTTGTACATGCATGCATAGTGTGTCCTAAGTGTAATTAGAAGCAGCAAGATGTACCTGAAATCTTGCATGTTAATGAGACAGAAAAAAGACACAAGCAATCCTACCACCATGTAAAACAGGTACAGGCTTTCGTTTTACATTCACTTGGCAGGATGGTAGTACCTCCCTGGGCGGTTGCTGTCTACCAACCTACTACCTATATTTTTCTATTTTTTTTTTTTTCAACAAGATGGCCGTCTCCCACCGAGGCAGGGTGACCCAAAAAAGAAAGAAAATCCCCAAAAAGAAAATGCTTTCATCATCATTCAACACTTTCACCACACTCACACATAATCACTGTTTTTGCAGAGGTGCTCAGAATACAACAGTTTAGAAGCATATACGTATAAAGATACACAACATATCCCTCCAAACTGCCAATATCCCAAACCCCTCCTTTAAAGTGCAGGCATTGTACTTCCCATTTCCAGGACTCAAGTCCGATTATGTGAAAATAACCGGTTTCCCTGAATCCCTTCACTAAATATTACCCTGCACACACTCCAACAGATCGTCAGGTCCCAAGTACCATTCGTCTCCATTCACTCCTATCTAACACGCTCACGCACGCTTGCTGGAAGTCCAAGCCCCTTGCCCACAAACCTCCTTTACCCCCTCTCCCAACCCTTTCGAGGATGACCCCTACCTCGCCTTCCTTCCCCTATAGATTTATATGCTTTCCATGTCATTCTACTTTGATCCATTCTCTCTAAATGACCAAACCACCTCAACAACCCCTCTTCTGCCCTCTGACTAATACTTTTATTAACTCCACACCTTTTCCTAATTTCCACACTCCGAATTTTCTGCATAATATTTACACCACACATTGCCCTTAGACAGGACATCTCCACTGCCTCCAACCGTCTCCTCGCTGCTGCATTTATCACCCAAGCTTCACACCCATATAAGTGTTGGTACTACTATACTTTCATACATTCCCTTCTTTGCCTCCATAGATAACATTTTTCGACTCCACATATACCTCAATGCACCACTCACCTTTTTTCCCTCATCAATTCTACGATTAACCTCATCCTTCATAAATCCATCCGCCAACACGTCAACTCCCAAGTATCTGAAAACATTTACTTCTTCCATACTCCTCCTCCCCAATTTGATATCCAATTTTTCTTTATCTAAATCATTTGACACCCTCATCACCTTACTCTTTTCTATGTTCACTTTCAATTTTCTACCTTTACACACATTCTCAAACTCATCCACTAACCTTTGCAATTTTTCTTTAGAATCTCCCATAAGCACAGTATCATCAGCAAAAAGTAACTGTATTAATTCCCATTTTGAATTTGATTCCCCATAATTTAATCCCACCCCTCTCCCGAACACCCTAGCATTTACTTCTTTTACAACCCCATCTATAAATATATTAAACAACCATGGTGACATTACACATCCCTGTCTAAGACCTACTTTTACCGGGAAGTAGTCTCCCTCTCTTCTACACACCCTAACCTGAGCCTCACTATCCTCATAAAAACTCTTTACAGCATTTAGTAACTTACCACCTATTTCATATACTTGCAACATCTGCCACATTGCTCCCCTATCCACTCTATCATATGCCTTTTTTAAATCCATAAATGCAATAAAAACTTCCCTACCTTTATCTAAATACTGTTCACATATATGCTTCAATGTAAACACTTGATCTACACATCCCCTACCCACTCTGAAACCTCCTTGCTCATCCGCAATCCTATATTCTGTCTTACCTCTAATTCTTTCAATTATAACCCTACCATACACTTTTCCTGGTATACTCAATAAACTTATTCCTCTATAATTTTTACAATCTCTTTTATCCCCTTTCCCTTTATATAAAGGGACTATACATGCTCTCCACCAATCCCTAGGTACCCTCCCCTCTTTCATACATTTATTAAACAAAAGTACCAACCACTCCAACACTATATCCCCCCCTGCTTTTAACATTTCTGTCATGATCCCATCAGTTCCAGCTGCTTTACCCCCTTTCATTCTACATAATGCATCACGTACCTCCCCCACACTTACATTCTGCTCTTCTTCACTCCTAAAAGATGGTATACCTCCCTGACCAGTGCATGAAATTACCACCTCCCTTTCTTCCTCAACATTTAAAAGTTCCTCAAAATATTCTCGCCATCTACCTAATACCTCCCTCTCCCCATCTACTAACTCCCCTACTCTGTTTTTAACTGACAAATCCATACTTTCCCTAGGATGGATGGTTGCTGTCTACCAACCTACTACATATATTTCTATTTACCCAACTTTAAAAATTTGATTTACAACTGATTTTCCTTGGATGGTTACCTTTTGCTATATTCCAGAAGGCATATTTTCACAGTCTTTCATTTAATCCTATTCCTATTGCCTTTATACAGAGGAACACCTGTGTCTTCAAAGAGTGCAGTGAACTCTGAATTTTACCATTTCACTCACTACCCCATCCATAACAACAGTGTAAGCTTATGCTCACCTTAAAACTATAGTAATCTTCCTTTTTATCCATGATAATTTTAACATCATTGCACTTCTGGCTGCTAGGGTCTTTAGATGGCTCCTTTGGTGTGGTAGCAATTTCATCAGGTGCCCCTGTAACATGGGTATGATGATTATGAGGACTTTTGTATGATTCTTTGAGATTAGGTGAATAATGGTAATAGTTACTTATCTTGCGTGTAGTATCTACCATGGTTTGTACCATATAAGTTCTTGGAAGCCCTAACCTTTTGATCAAGAAGTCATCCTTATGGCTGTATATATATCGAATATATAATGGGGTTATATATACCCTAACTTCTATGACATCAATTTATCAACTGTATTTCAGGTGGAGATCATGTGGCTATACTTAATGTTGGGCAATCACTGATAAACCACATGTCCAGAAGGCCATCTAAATGTTTGAGGCACATCCTCAAAAGGAATACTGCTGTTTTCTAGATGACAGGTAATACAAATTCAGACTTAGCTTTTGTAACACTGAGAAATTTGAGGCTACCATGTACTTAGTATATAGGACCTGATTATGACAGTTGGAAGATAAGCAGTCTATTCCACAAAGACGATTCACAGGGATGGCATACTCACTGTTATTTCGGAAAGATTAAACACTACCCTTTGAGGCACTAAAACTCAACAATTTTGTTAGGCATAATTGCAGATTGCCTGTACACTAGTAGACACTAAAGACTTTATTAAACATCACCCAACTTCAGTATACTATGGTAACTGATAGTTACTATGGGTAAATGAGATTTGCCTAATGTATTTTTCATTTAACAAACCTCTTCTCCAGTCTTCATCTAGGTCTTTAAGCAAGGGACCTCTGTACCAGGAATACTTTTAGCCCTATCTTAGATACAAATATGTAAATTATATAAAAAAAGAAAATTAATTTTTATATATTTTTTTAATGAAATTAAAGACGATGAAAACCTCATGTCATCTTCCTAATAAAAAAGTTAATGTAAAAGCTTTTATAATCTCTCTCAGTTTTTCGTTGAGAAACAACACTTACTGGCAACTAACCAGATGATACATATCACTGAGAAAGGGTTAAAATAATGTGATGATGAACAAATTTATCCACTCTGTAAAGTCCTAGCATATTTTATGAAGGCAAAACAGCAAACATTTAAAAACTGATGAACATTATGCCATTATTTTAAAAAGATGAGTGGGAAAATTCTTTAAGCTATAGGTATGTCTCTGCAATAAGTTACCATGAAGATCCCCCCCCCAAAAAAACCATTAAAAGTGAATAATACACCTGTAGAAGAAAAACCTATTTATAAAACAGATAAGTTTCAAATTAGATCTGTATATGAAACCTATTAAGCTTCTATAATAGTCACAGATACCAAACAAAACACACACAAACAAATTAAATTTGCTGTACTGTATTTGAATTATAAAAAAGCTTTGAACAGTGTTTGCCATGAAACACTGTCATATGACAACTGCAAAAGCTTGGAGGAATACTACCAAACTACTGTATAAATACCATATATACCAAAGTATAACCCAACTCCATGTATAGGTCAGCCACTGTTATTTTTGCCAAAAAATCCTTAACTTTTCATATATCTCATGAATAAGTTTACTCTTGTTTTTGAGGGACTCTAAAAGGTATCAAAATGGGTCTAATTCAAAATATGTTTTAGCCAAAATTTGGGGGAGGGGAAAGGGGGGGGAGGAATAACTGAAAATGTGACAATTGATAAACAGAAACAAAGCACTGCAGAAGACCTACTGGACCATTTCAGGCAAGTTCTACTTACACCCAACCATTATATGACATGATTGTACATAGATAACCTGCACATAGGAGACAAACTTATGACAACATTTCGGTCCAGTTTGGACTGAACTAGTTAATGGTCCAAGCTGTACCAAAATGTTGTCATAAGCTTTAATTTCCAATGTGCTGGTTATTTGTGTATTGTTCCAGCCATGGCTTACCAGACCATGCTAGGCAAGTTTTACGTAAATCAAACCTTTTTTACTCATGTTTGTCCAGCCAATTTTTAAAGCTACCCAAGGAATTATGTTCAATGATTAAAAGCAGGGCAGGGCAGGACAGCATGAACTACTGGTTATCATCAAATTTATTTTTTATATTTAAGGTAGAATATGATTACTAAATGTGGTTCATACTTTAATGCACCAAAAAGTAAGAATCTAATGTGGTAGACTCTTTTTACAACAAAATTTCAATCTATAAAAGAAGTATCTATGAATAGGCCAACACCTGACTTTTTGCTTACAAATTTAGTTTTAAAAACCTCAACCTATGCAAGGGTATATACAGTATTATATAGCCACTTATACAGTAAATACATAAAGAGCACTTGCCCTGAGCTGCATCTGTATTTTCTCTCTTCTTTCTAGATTGCCAGACTGACCTCTGCAATGAAGAGATACATTACATACACATTAAATAAAAGTACACAATACAGTTAACACCGACATTATTTTTACTAATAAACCATATACTTTATTTCAATTATTCAATTTGAGTCTCAGGAAGAATCCCTAAATTATTATGACTTGGTTCCCTGTGATTTTTATTTGTAACATTTCTCCTATTCCATACAGCCCTATTAAAATTTTGGATGTTGTTCCTTCTGGAGCTATTTGTAGTCTAGCCATGTCCTATCAGAGCTCATTTCAAGTTATGTCAGTGACAGGTCGTATTTATTTTGCAAATTAAGATAAAAGTTGTCAAAAATATGTCATGACAACTGTCATAGCAGATTCTGAACTTGATTAGATTCTTTTTGGCATGATATGCACCATTTTTGCCTTGGCCTTATGTTTTTTTTTATTATTTTTTCAGCTTATCTGCATTTAAGCAGTTTAAGACTCTTAATACTGTGATTTTCCTCTGAAGATGGATGATAGCAGTATCTTTCCGGCTGTTCGTACACTGTTAAAAAAAAAAGCTTCGTGTTGCAAACAGATTCTTGATTCCTCAATGAACTTTAAACCTGAGTGCTTATTTAACAGCTTTTGGTCTTCAGCTAAAGCCTATTTTCTTGGCATAGAATTTCACAGAATGGCACTTCGTTGAATTATCAGCTAATCCAGTGACACATGGATCCAATAGCTCTGGGTTTGCTCACTTTCAGATCTAATAAGTTCTGCGGATTTCATTTTTTCTGTCTACAAAAAATAAAATTCTTTTCACCCATTAAGTTGAAGTAAGCATCAAACATAAAATCTGGCCATAAATATTACAGCTCAAATATACAAGTAAATGTTATGCTGTAGAAAAAAAACAGGAAAGTCTATTGAAATATTTTATTCACATATATCATAATGAAACACATGCAACAATGTATGATCCAACTGCATAAAGTCAGTAACTTTCACAAAATTTTGTTACATAATGTTTTGTCGAAAATCAGCAAGGCAAAAATCTGCCATCACAGTTGTCATGACACTTTTTTTGACAACTTTAAACTGAACTTGCAAAATGAAAACCAGTCCCTATCAATTCAGACAATTTCTGAAATTGCCACCGAAAATTGTATAAGGACACTTAAACACGAGGTTCTAGCTGTTGTTGCTCTATAACAAAAGCAAATGAAAAATGCCTGGCTTTCATTATAACATTGCACAAGCCAAAAATCACCTTATTTTAAGGTCTGTTTTCTCCCTTCAAGGGCAAAATGCCTATCCAGAAAACGGATATCTTGTAGTTTCGAATCTATTCTAATGAAGGTTTTTTAAGAAAATTGGTTGAGATGCTTTTTGTCTATTGGTCTTCAAAAATGGCTTAAAATTCACCAAGAGGTCTGTGAGGGTATTTTTAGGTACCATTAGCACAGGAACTAAAAATGTTTGGAATCTGATATTTTAGGATTGTGATGATATTCACTTGGGTATCCGGTTACAATGATGTCATACTAAAATAATGTTTTCCTTTAGAGATATAGACAGCTGAATTCAAAATTCAATTTTATCCGACAGATTGTTTTGCCTACTTTAACTTCATACTGTGAATAATGTAAAAGCATGTAAGTTTTAAGACTGCAATTTTTTAAATCAGCTCCAAAAATTGTATAGGCATGTCTACATACACAACTTTTGCTCTTCTAGATCTGCCACAGCAGTAACCTAAACAATGCTGATAGTGTGTTGTGGGTTGGTGAAATTTTCACCTGCCTCCACTGAGAGCCACAGCATTACAGTGGACCCCCGCATAACGATGGCATCACATAGCGATTTTTCCGCATACCGCTTACTTTTATCGCAAAATTTTTGCCGCGCATACCGATTAAAAACCCGCTCACCGATTTTCGTCCAAGACGCGTCCAATGTGCCCTCACATGTGCCGCCCGTCCCATTGTTTACCAGCCAGCCTCCGCGGTAACATCCAAGCATACACTCGGAATATTTCGTATTATTACAGTGTTTTCGGTGCTGTTTCTGGAAAATAAGTGACCATGGGCCCCAAGAAAGCTTCTAGTGCCAACCCTGTGGTAAAAAGGGTGAGAATTAGTATGGAAATTAAGAAAGATTTTGAAGGGTTTGGGGCTAACCCTGAGAAGCCTATGCCAGTTGTGGAATCCATTGTGCCTACTTCAAAGATTAAGGAAATGTGTGCACAGTGGGTTGAACTGCAAACCTGACACAGCTGTTGCAAGCCGTGCTGGTGACTATTTCAATGACAATGTTGTGGCCCATTTTAGACAAATCGTAAAGGAACGGGAGGTACAGAGCTCTATGGACAGATTTGTTGTGCGACAGAGGTCCAGTGACTCTCAAGCTGGTCCTAGTGGCATTAAAAGAAGAAGGGAAGTAACCCCGGAAAAGGACTTGCTACCTCAAGTCGTAATGGAAGGGGATTCCCCTTCTAAACAGTAAGAAGATAATGCTCTCCCCTCCTCCCATCCCATCAATCATCACCAGATCTTCAATAAAAGTAAGTGTCATGTAATTGTGCATGCCTTTTTCAGTTTGTGTGTATTAAAATTAACATTTCATGTGGTAAAAAAAAATTTTTTTCATACTTTTGGGCGTCTTGCACGGATTAATTTTATTTCCATTATTTCTTATGGGGAAAATTCATTCGCATAACGATTATTTAGCATAACAATTATCCCTCTTGCACGGATTAAAATCGTTAACCGGGGGTCCACTGTACTTCTACTGCATATCATGAACTAAAATTTTCCCAAAGTTAGTTTGATATACATGCCAACCTTCATGTAAATTTTTATCAAAATTGATCCACTTGACCAATAATTTTTTTTTTTAAATACTGGCTGTCTCCCACTGAGGTAGGAGATCCAAAAAAGAAACACTTTCATCATCATTCACACTACCATTTTCTTACCAGAAGCATGCAGATACAACAGTTCAGATGCCCCTCCAAACAACAAATATCCTCACGGCTCCTTTAGAGTGCTGGCACTGTACTGCCCACAATGCTTGCACTATAAAGGGTGGGGATATTTGCTGCTTGGAGGGAATTTTTTATTATTCAGGATTTTTATTATTACACCAGATTTATATTATAGTGATTATTAAGGGGCAAAATATTAAGGCTTATGGAGAAAACATTAATTTTGTACCAAATAAATTTTCCTGATTAAAAAACATTCTAAAAAATAAACACTAACTGTATATATATGATACAGCACTATGGAATAATAATCATGTTCACTTAATGTTAGCTTTATCACTTACATAATTTCTTTTAACTCAGCAGCTGTCTCCTGCCAAGGCAAAGAAGAAAGAAGGAATGCATTCACCAACATCCACTCAACTGCCGTGTTTCTAGAAGTGTGCTGACATCACATGCAAATTACCCTCTGACTGCAACATCCGCACCCCTCTTTCAGAGTACAGGCACTGCTCATTATTATTATATTTTCATGAGGAAGCATTAAACCCATAGGGATTGTTTAGTGCCTGGGGAATACTAGGTAATCAGGGCTGTTCCAAGGAAAGGGAGGATAGTGGCAATTCCTAGGATAAGTAGTCCTTCACCAGCATCAAGGCATCTTGAAGGGAATCTTTCTGACTCCTAATCTTTCCACCCTGACAGAAATCCTCCATTTTCTTTGTTTCTTCAAAGCCTTTGGGGAAACCTGTAGAATGCTAGAACTGACTTATCATCTTACTGATTACTGTATCCAGCAGCACAAGTAATAACACCATAGAGCCTTAGAAAGATAAGAGAAATTTTACATATACAGTGGAACCCCAGATTTCGTCCGGTGCGGATATCGTACAATTCAGATTTCGACCACTTTTTGGGGCAAAATTTTATCCCAGGTTTCATACCTCTGCTCAAAAATCGTCCATATCAGACACGTCCACCTGCCCAAGATGCGGCCACTCACACACATGACCCAGTCTGCCTCTGTCTCTTTTTTCAGTGAGCAATACTCTGCACGTTCATCCAAAACATTGGTGGCAGAGGGTGGTAGTGATGGTGGTAGAGGGTGGTGGTAGAGGGTGGTGGTAGAGGGTGGTGGTAGAGGGTGGTGGTAGAGGGTGGTGGTAGAGGGTGGTGGTAGAGGGTGGTGGTAGAGGGTGGTGGTAGAGGGTGGTGGTAGAGGGTGGTAGTGATGGTGGTAGTGATGGTGGTAGTGATGGTGGTAGAGGGTGGTAGTGATGGTGGTAGAGGGTGGTAGTGATAGTGGTAGAGGGTGGCAGTGATGGTGGTAGAGGGTTGTAGTGATGGCAAACAATTGAAGATGTTGAGAAGTTGTTGCTGGTGTGGATCAATGAAAAATAGTTAGCGGGAGATAGTGTTGTGGGGGTGATAATTTGCGAAAAGGTAAGGCAGTTACATGCAGATCTTGTAAAGAATATGCCAGCAAGTCTTCAATAAAGGTAAAAGTGATTTCAATGTTCATTTATCCATTAAAATTAGTGCTTCACATTTATTTCTCATTGTTTTCTATAAGTAAAACTATAGTTATTCAAAATATAAAATGTATTTTTTGTTAATATTTTTGGGTGCTGAAATGGATTAATTGGATTTACATTATTTCTTATGGGAAATATGACTTCGGTTATCGTCCATTTCGGATTTCGACCGACCTTCTGGAATGGATTAAGGGCGAAAACGGGGGTTCCACTGTATTGTATGTATGTGCAGTATGTTGTTGTTGTCAATGTAGCTTCGTGTTAAATATGTCTGATAAGTAATACTTCCTATCACATGCAAACACTCAATAGTTTTCAACAGTCAATGAAGAAGAAAGGACATCTGGCATTAATTTAAATATTTCACAGCAATTTACTTTACAAATCAAATTAAATGAACACTAATACCTAATATTTTAAACTGCCCAACAGTGAATAATTAATGGAATTACCATTAAATGCTTGCAATCAACTTCGTGAAACCAACTAGAGTAGTATTTATTATTTGTGGAGGAAAGGAAAAAAAAGAATGCCTCTTCAATCAAGGAACAGTGTTATTATGCATTAATTATATATTATATAGTATATCAGTCATTTTTTATAAAAAAAAAGCAATTATTTTATTCACTGGAAAACATTTAAACAATCTAACAACACAAACCTTTTGTAGATGTGAGAAGAGATTGCGGTCAGCTAGTTTTTCCAGGTGTTCTACTTTTTTAACTTCCTGTAACTTGTCCTTGCCTTTCAATACATGAAGATCCTTCATGTCTTCGCTACACTTCAGATAAACCCTAGACACATTCAAAAGTAAACGAGTAAACAGTGTTCAAAAATATAATCTAGTCTATAGGAAAACAATAATAAAATGTAGTCATCAGAGCTTGTTGACTGGGATACAATATAAATACATATAATCACTGTCATATCAGGAAGGTCAACATTGGTGTAACAAATTTTGGAAACTGTGAAATACAGAGCTTGTGTTGCAAGTTAGAATAGGAAATCCATGAAATGCTATTCTGGAAAGGCAACTAGTGAGTGAATACTGTTCAATGTTTTCTTCTTAGGGCCACTTTGCCTAGATGGAAAATGGCTTAAGAGTTAAAAATAAACAAAAACTATCTAGGCAAATGGCTTCAGAGCTAAATATAAACAAAAACTTACTGGCTATTTTTCAGGTCAAATATGAAGAAAACATGCTGCACCAAGGTATCATTAGGTCGAAAGTTCTGCAACTGACACTTATCAGGGTGGTTTTCCGTGTATGGATTGGCAGTCTTCTCCAAAATGAATCCAAACTGTTGAGACATAGATAAATTGTAAATAAATGGTTGACAATAAACAAAAGATTGGTAAAAATATTAATAGTAAGCAATTACAAATTATGGGGCTAGTAACCCCTTCTCCTATATACATTACTAAAGTTAAAAAGAGAAACTTTCACTTTTCTTTTTGGGCCACCCTGTTTCAGTGGGACATGGCCAGTTTGTTGAACGAAGAAAAATTATGTATTATCTACTATCAAGGCAAAAAATAAGAGGAAGTTTATTTTAGTAAACACAATAATGTGCTTACTGTTTCTAACTTGTCTTAACAAAAGTACAGCACTGTTTCACTTAAACTGTCAAATTTTTATATATACTAGGGTACAATGTAGTACATATATCTTTCGGTAATAATGTTTCATTGCCAAATTAGGGAAATACACATGCTGTTTTGTGAAACAGTAATTTCAAGCAATTCAAATATTCATCATATAATTGGTCCTTTCATAAAGTGTCGCCAAACTTACTTCCTTATCTGCATCCTTTGGTGTGATCTTGAATTTTGTAACTTCAACATTCAAATATCCATCACGGTAAAAGCCAAAGGTACTGATTGGGAAATAGCGCCTTTCATCATTCTGCAACCACAATTTGCTGAATGTTACTCATCTATATACAATTAATTTTTATTCATACTGTTACACTCATGAGAGTATGAAACTTCAGTGTCAAAAACATGCAATCAAAATGGGTTAAAGACAGAACATAATAACTAATACATGTACAGTGGTACCTCAGTATACGTCCACTTTGGAATAACTCCAATTTGGTATACATACTGTTTGGACACAAAAATTTTTGCTTGGTATACATGTATGACTTTGTTTGGAATATGACTCACATGCTAGAACTTGTATGGGTCAAAATGATAAAGATGCCACCAATGATTTTATTACAGAGTTTGGGGAATTTGGGGAGGCTGAGGGTTTTGTTCCCCAGTAAGTTTTTAATTGTAACGAAACAGGCCTGTTTTGGAAGAAAATGCCTAACAAGACCTATATTACACAAGAGGAGAAGGCATTACCAGGACACAGGCCAATGAAGGATAGGTTAACTCTCTTGTTCTATGCCAATGCAAATGGGGATTGCAAACTGAAGTCTCAACTGATCTACCACTAAAAACCCGAGGGCCTTTAAAAAACATACATAATGTGCAGAAAACTCAAGTTACCCATGACGTGGAGGTCAAACAGCAAGGCTTGGGTAACCAGAGAATATTTCAGCGAATGGTTTAATGTTGTGTTTGGGCAAGTGTAAAAAGTCATTTAGAGGAGAAAAACCTGCCTCTGAAGCCCCTCCTCATAATGAACAAGTTTTGGTCCCCTTACTACAGGATGGACATAGACTCATTAGAGAACATACAGAGAAGAATGACTAAAATGATTTACTGTGTAAGGAACCTCCCGAATGAAGATAGACTTAAAGCCTTAAATCTCCACTCTCTGGAGAGGCGTAGAATGAGGGGAGATATCATTGAAGTGTATGAGTGGATGACGGGCATAAACAAAGGAGACATTAATAAAGTACTGAGGGTGTCGAACCAGGTAAGAACCAGGAATAATGGATTTAAGTTGGATAAATTTAGATTTAGAAAGGACATAGGTAAGTACTGGTTTTCTAACAGAGTTGTAGATGCGTGGAACAGTCTTCCCAGTGGGGTGATAGAGGCTAGGACCTTGGGTAGCTTTAAGAAAGGACTGGACGAATATATGAGTGGGAGGGGCTGGGTTTGATTGGTGTCAAGGGGTACAGGAGTTATTTCTTGAGTAGCTTTAGGTAGATGTCGTTTTGATAAGGACCTGCCTCGTATGGGCCAGTAGGCCTTCTGCAGTGTTCCTACATTCTTATGTTCTTATGTAATGCTCCAGCTCACCCTCCAAGCTTGCAGGATTATGTGCTGCCAGAGTCTGACTTCATCCTGTAAAGTTTCTCCCCCCCTAACATGACTCCTCTTGGAAGTTTTGGAAGTATCACTTTACTATCGCCCATTGCATAACTCTCATTGACAAAACCTGGCAGGAAGTTTCATACAGAACAATGAACTCTGCCTGGAGGAATTTGTGGCCAGAAGCAGTGGCTGAAAGGGACTTTGAGGGCTTTGAGGCTGTCTATAGTGGAGGATATTCTCTCTCTGGGCAGGTCCGTGGGTCTGGATGTGAGTGATAGTGATGTGGAGGAGTTAGTGGAGGGACACAGGGAAGAGCTGATCACTGAGGAGCTGCAGGAACTTGAGGAGGAGGAGCACAAGACTAAGATAGATACTCTCTTCAGGTTCAGAGAGGAGATAGAGGAAGCCCCTACTTCATTAATCAAGGAAATCTTTGCCAAATGGATGAACGTCAAAAACTTTGCAGAGAAGTACCACCCCAACAAAGCCCAAACAAGCCATAATAGCATTGTCTGGAATAAACCAGACAATGTCACATTTCCGAAGATCCTGAGGGAGGAAGGCAAAAGCAAAGTTTTTTGGATAGATTTTTAGTAAAGTCAAACCTGGTGAGCTTCATAGCCCCAAGTACAAATAGGGAAAAAGAGGACAGAAAAGAGAAGGGGACTCTACTTCCAAACAATAACATTTCCTCCTCCTCCCTTCCTCTGCACTATCCTAATAGGCATTCGACTCTTTTCAGCAAAGTAAGGTGAGGCTAACCCCTTGACTGTTGCAATCCCCAAATCCTGAGGTGTCTCCTGGTGTCACAAAAAAAAAAAAAAAAAAAAAAAAAAAAAAAAAAAAAATATATATTATATAATAATATATATATATATATATATATATATATATATATATATATATATATATATATATATATATATTTTATATATAATATATAAATATATTTTATTTTTTTTTTTTTTTTTTTTATTATCACACCGGCCGATTCCCACCAAGGAAAGGGTGGCCCGAAAAAGAAAAACTTTCACCATCATTCACTCCATCACTGTCTTGCCAAAGGGTGCTTTACACTACAGTTTTTAAACTGCAACATTAACACCCCTCCTTCAGAGTGCAGGCACTGTACTTCCCATCTCCAGGACTCAAGTCCGGCCTGCCGGTTTCCCTGATCCCTTCATAAATGTTACTTTGCTCACACTCCCAAAAGCACGTCAAGTATTAAAAACCATTTGTCTCCATTCACTCCTATCAAACACCTCACGCATGCCTGCCTGGAAGTCCAAGCCCCTCCCCCCACACAAAACCTCCTTTTACCCCCTCCCTCCAACCCTTCCTAGGCCGACCCTACCCCGCCTTCCTTCCACTACAGACTGATACACTCTTGAGTCATTCTGTTTCGCTCCATTCTCTCTACATGTCCAACCACCTCAACAACCCTTCCTCAGCCCCCCTGGACAACAGTTTTGGTAATCCCGCACCTCCTCCTAACTTCCAAACTACGAATTCTCTGCATTATATTCACACCACACATTGCCTCAGACATGACATCTCCAAATGCCCTCCAGCCTTCTCCTCGCTGCAAAAATTCATCACCCACTTCACCCCCCATATAAGAGCGTTGGTAAAACTATACTCTCATACATTCCCCTCTTTGCCTCCAAGGACAAAGTTCTTTGTCTCCACAACTCCTAAGTGCACCACTCACTCTTTTTCCCTCATCAATTCTATGATTCACCCCCATCTTTCATAACCCCCTCCGCTGACACGTCCAATCCCAAATATCTGAATACGTTCACCTCCTCCATACTCTCCCCCTCCAATCTGATATTCAATCTTTCATCACCTAATCTTTTTGTTATCCTCATAACCTTACTCTTTCCTGTATTCACCTTTAATTTTCTTCTTTTGCACACCCTACCAAAATTCATCCACCAATCTCTGCACTTCTCTTCAGAATCTCCCAAGAGCACAGTGTCATCAGCAAAGAGCAGCTGTGACAACCCCCACTTTGTGTGTGATTCTTTATCTTTTAACTCCACGCCTCTTGCCAAAGGGACCCTCGCATTTACTTCTCTTACAACCCCATCTATAAATATATTAAACAACCACGGTGACATCACACATCCTTGTCTAAGGCCTACTTTTACTGGGAAAAATTTCCCTTTTCCTACATACTCTAATTGAGCCTCACTATCCTCGTAAAAACTCTTAAACTGCTTTCAGTAACCTACCTCCTACACCATACACTTGCAACATCTGCCACTTTGGGCCCCCCTATCCACCCTGTCATACGCCTTTTTCCAAATCCATAAATGCCACAAAGACCTCTTTAGCCTTATCTAAATACTGTTCACTTATATGTTTCACTGTAAACACCTGGTCCACACAACCCCCTACCTTTCCTAAAAACCTCCTTGTTTCATCTGCTATCCTATTCTCCGTCTTACTCTTAATTCTTTCAATTATAACTCTACCATACACTTACCAGGGACACTTTAACAGACTTATCCCCCTATAATTTTTGCACTCTCTTTTATCCCCCTTTGCCTTTAACAAAGGAAACTATGCATGCTCTCTGCCAATCCCTAGGTACCTTACCCTCTTCCATACATTTATTAATAATTCCCCAAACCCACAAAAACTATACCCCCACCTTCTTTTTTTAACATTTCCCCCTATCCTTTATACCCCTCCCCGCTCCTTTAAACCCCCTTTTCATTTCCTACTGTCAAACTTCCCCCACACTCAAAACGGCCCCCCTCACCCTAAAAATTTTTTTCCTCTTCCCCTATACCAAAACCCAAAATTCCCTACTTCTCCATTTAACTTCCCAAAAATTTTCCTCTTCCCTCTTAACTCTCCATTAAAACTTTTCCCTTTTCCAAAATTTTTAACTGCTCCATTTGTTCTCTGGGTTTTTTTGTAACCATCAAAACTTTTTTTTTTTTCCCCTTTTTGTTTGTTTTTTTTTTTTTTTTTTAAAATTTCCCCCCTTTTTTTTTTTTTCTCCATAACATATATATATATCAATATATAAAATATATATATATTTAATATATTATATAAAATATAATAATAAATATATATAAATATTATATAATATGCAAAAAAAGACTTCAAGGAAAGAATATTTGGATTTCTTCCTGAACCCGTTTGAATTTTCCACTTCCCCTACCACCCCATCTTTTTAGCATATTTTTTTTTTACCAATGGGAATTTTTTAATACATAATAGGGTACAGAAGATTTAAAGATCTTGTTGATATAAAGGGGGCATATACGGGACATGTTTTACTGTGTATCAAACCCATTTTAAGGCGAAAAAACTCATCCAGCCCTCAAGCTGGGGCGTGTGCCCAAAATACAGCAGGCATTACCCCCTTTTAACAGCCGCATGAGCCGCTGGAACAGAAAAATACTGCCCTGGATCCCTATTACCCTGATATTTTTTTTTTTTTCCCCCAGCTTTCCCTTTAAAGGGAAATTTTGATGCACTCTTTCCCCCCTGAGCCAAGGGGCTCTGAGCCTAGGGAACAAAAAATATAATGATGGGCAAGTTTTTCCCCAAATTTTTTTAGACTTTTGGGCTCCCCCGAAGCTGGGACGCCCCTCCTTCCTGCCCGGTGTATTGGGGATAGATCAGCCAAGGTAGATGCACATGTATAGTCCCACACCACCGCTTCCCATCTGTCCCGCTTGAAAGGGTGATACCATCTGGCCCTTCGCTGCCATCAAAACTCATAGTTGGGGTGGCCCCTTACGCTGGGCATCCACTGTTGTGGGGCTCCTCTTGATAATTTTATTAACCTCCTCATGTCTTGCAATCTTTCCCTGGGTTTTACGGCACAAAGACCATGGTACCCCCGAACGGTCTGCTTTTCACTGCCACAAATACCCCTTGTTCAGCGAAATGGGGGCGGCAAGTCGAAGGGCAACACCGATGGAGGGTCTGTGGGTCGACTGTGCCAAAAGGTGAGTTGGGAACAGCCAACAGAAAGTCCCCAGCATGGGGGGCTCCACGCCAGGAGGCGGGCCTATCCTTCCCTACACACTCTGAAGATTGTTGGGAAATATTTTCCACTTTTGGGACCATCCCAGGGCATTTTTTGTAGTTGGGGGGGGGAGCAGGTCGGGTCCAGAGCCCGTTAGTTTATCCCAATCATTGCTCCGTCAATGAATTTTTGTCCTGGACTCCTCCCTTGTCCCAAGATGTTCGGGGAAAATCGCTGCTACAAGCTCTCTGTTTTCAAACCAGGACAGAAAAGCAGGTAACGAATCGTGA